CATGAAGAGATTGTCAGATGTGCTAGAAGGTCATATATCCAATTTTTAACAATTTTAGAGAAAAATCAAAAGAGTTTGAAATCATATAAAAAGTTCAATTTATGATATATTGACCTGATTTTTCAATGGTAACTTCTCTTCATAGGAAGTTTTCATTGAAAATCTTTGTTGTTTCGATAACTTCACTCACTTATCAGTTAGAAGAAAAGTGACATATGACATTATGGCGTGGACATGACAAGATATGCAGTTATTTTACATCAAGCCTATGATAATGACTTTTTAAAGATAATAATCTAAAAGTTTTTAAAAGTTTTATCTATTAATTTAAAAATATACTTTTTATTATTATATTTAAAGATTGAGTTGTAATAAATTTTGAATTTTAAATAGCATTGAAACTATATGTTTTAATGTTATCATAACTTATGTATCCAAAGCATACTGTATTTTATATCATAATAAGTATTTCTATTTCAGCAGAGGATATTTAAGAAAGTATTTAGTGTATTTAAGCTATACTGCACCTTTGTTAGTCAGCCCCAAACTTTTTACTGTATTTTAATTAAAAAAAATAATAGTAATAATAATAAAAAAAATAATAGTAATAATAATAAAAAAATCAATAAAATTATAATGTGACATTGTCACAATGCCAAGCTGCAATTTTTATTCATATTTTTAATTTATTTAATTTAAAATATATGCTCTCAATTTTAATAGTGTTTTGCCCCTATACACCATACTTTTCCTGATCACGCCAATCATCTATGTAATTCCATTAAAAATTTTCTTGTGGAATTTACTGTTTAAAAAAATAATCTGCTGTGGTGCCAAATCTGGCAACACTGTAAACTATCTCGTAACACAGTTTCATAGTTACTTTTTTCCCACATGCACATACAATTATTTTGTTTGTGCACCTTACAATAATTGGTTTAAGGCAGGTTCAAGATAATGACCATAATAGGATTTGGAGATAATGATATTCCATAAAAGACAAAAATATTGACATATCTCACTCATCCCATAAAAATGGCTTTTTGTGGGTGAGTGAGAAATTTTAGTCAAGATAGAAGAGCTAGCGGTTAGGTGGGTGTTCTAGAAGTTAAAAATATTTTTGGATAAAACATGAAAAGGAAAATTACTATTGTAAAAGCATTTACCAAGCTATTTCACTTGACAGAAAACAACAAATGTGCACGTGATAATTCAATTGGAAAGGAGCAAGTTGAAAACGTGGAAGACTATGATTATTCAACAAAGTGAAATTGATTCTTCTAAAAAGATTCAAAGATTAGAACAAGTTATTTGTGATATTAATAGTAAAAATAAAAATAGTGAATCAGCACAAAATTCTAAGTCAAAACTAGGTTTATTTTATGAAACATGAAGGATAGAAAAAACACAGTTTTATAAAATTTAATACAATATATGAACTTTCAGCTGAGTGTTCAGATGCAATTTCATCTTACGAGAAAGGGTGTGTGATAGCAAAACCATTATAGAAGCATTTAGTATGTTTAAAAAAAATGACTGATTTTACAATGATCATTTGTTTCCAAACAGTTCTGTAATTTTTCAGTTATGTTAAACGTTTTTCTACAAAACTACAAGGATCAACTTTAGATATTGTACAAGCATTTGAAATGGTGTCTCGTGTGAAATCAGTGTTAGAACAGTCTAGAGAAGATATTCAGAATTTGATGTTATATACAGCAAGAGTGCAATAGAGCGTCATTTATCTGAAAGCTGGTTAACCGACATTTCGGATAAACAGCATTCCAGTCAGCAAATTTAAATTTTTGCTAGTGCTGTGGCGCTGCAATCTTTGGCTATATGTTGGGCTACTCCAATATTTTTTCTTGTTGGTGTGTGTGTTTTAGCTGGCAGCACTGGCACTTTTGTGTGGTGTTTTTCTGAAGACTGTTTGTCGTGCTGAATCAAACATTTTTGATACTAGATTAACTTCTAAAGTATAATTTTTTTGTTTTTATATTTTTCAATATATTTATTTTGTTTGTAAAAAATAAATAAATCATTTTTAACGATACAATAGCCACAATTATTATTTTAAAAAGTTTACGTTAGGCTTAACATCGATGAAAATTCAACGGAGAAAAATTTCAACATGGCATAGGTTAATATATTTTTTCGTACATAATCGGTTATCCGAAAAATAAGTTATCCGAACAATCCCAGTTCCCAATTGATTCAGATAAGCGACACTCTACTGTATATAAGATCAGAGTAAATTAGATTCTCTAATTTAATCTGAGGTTTGAGAAAATGGCTAATAATGTGATTACGATATTCTATTGATTCCATTAAATATGAGCTGTGAATTAATTGAAAAACTAGAAAATGAAATTTTAAATTATTTTGTAGATGATTTGCCATGAATTAAACATGAATTTAAACATGAATTAAAACTATGGAAAAGAGTTTGGTGTGAGATGGATGATAAGTCTGATAGTATAAGATTGACATTATCTAATAGCAGAAGTTGTTCTAAATGTTCCCAAATATTACTAAAGTTTTAAATCTTTTATTAATACCAGTAATTTCATCTGGTGTTAAAAGAGCAAATTTGTTATTGAGACATGTACTGTGCATGATGATTTACAAAGCTGTACAAGTGAACAGAGATTTAACATACTTATTTTGTTAATGACACATAAAGACATTGATGTAAACTTAGATGAAATGACAGATCTATATGCAAGAAAACATCTAAGATGAATGTTACTTTTAAATCCATTGAAAATAAAAATATTTCTTTCTGATTAATGAAAACCATCTATTTATATACATCACAGTCTTGATACTAAAAATAATTGATTTTGGATATTGATATTCACATGAAGCACATCCCCTAATGAAATTCCTGAATCTGACCCTAAAGAGGAAAACTTTAGAAAATGTTTTAAAATAAAAACTCTTACTTCTATTAAAAAAAGAATTATAATCACTTTGTAGATTTTAAATTTTTACTTACACTTCAAATTTCTACAACAAATAATTTACATCTTACATTTATCAAAAAATAAATAAATAAATAAACTTTAAAACCTACCTTTAACCCATTCTTCCATTGTATTTATTGAATCAGCAGTTAAATAATATGTGCGTTTTCCAGTAGATATCTAAAAATATGTATAAACTTGTTATGAAAAGAATATAATAAAATTAAAGAATATTGTATAACATAAAAATATAGATTTGATATTATACATTAAAATTTTATCATATATTTATTACATATATTTTATATTTGTAATTTACATTTTAAGTATTTGTTTTGAAAATTTTAAGTTTTTTTCAAAAGTAAAAATTCATTTCGGTCCAATTAGTTATTTTAATCATCCTTCTATAAGAAATCTTTATTAGCTATTTTGAGATAATTATTTACCTCAAATCAGTATTTTTACTTTTAATTATATAATATATTTTTCTTTTATAACAAAAAATGATCTTGTATTTAAAATTCAAATTAATAAATAAAAATTATTGTTTTTATTATTAAAATAGTAAAAGGTTGTATTTAAAAGCAAAAAATAGGATTTATAATACTCAAGGCAAAAAAATTAATAAATTTTTCAAATAAGTCAATACTAGGAAGTAATGAAATAATTCTGCAAAGAAAAAAATCAATAAAAGGTGGAGCAAAAATCTCACTCAACTGTTGTTAAAATGACAAAGAAAATAAAATGAATTATACCTTCAATAAAACATAATTACTGTCCTTTTCTTGCATTATTTAGAATTTATTGATAGGCATATATATTAACTCTTTATTTATGTTATGCAGATAGAAAAGAGAAAATATTTATGTCGTCAGTTCACGTTATGTTAAGTTTTTTCTAATCCACGTTATTTATTCAGAAATTTACTGGGATTTGCAAGTTTATCGGTACTTATAGAGAGACAAGAAACATGCTTTAACATTGTGATTAATTTATCAATAGCATGCTATTCAACACCTTATGGAATTGATAAATCTCAAAGTAATAAATCACCTTTCTGTTATGTGATTTAATAGTTACATATATTTTAATTAAAAAAAACTATCAAAATCAAGAAATGCATATACAGTAAAACCTTGCTAAATCAAATTGAGTTAACTCAAAACTGTCTACAGGGTCTGGCACAGTAGGATTTTCAATTTAATACAGTCTCATTAAGTTGAAATTGTTGGTACTTTTAACTAACTTATTTTCCCAGATATCCTCTATCCTTTGATAGGTGATCTTCATTTTGTCTTACAGAGTTCATAACAATTTGTTATTGCAAATTTCCATGTTATCATCAAAAATTTCCAGTACCCTAATATTGTTAGATTTAAAGCTTATTCTGTATTTACAACAACATTAGTTCAAAACATAGCAATGATACAAAATTCTTTGTACCATTAATGACAAAAGTAAATCACTATCTTATGCCAATCAATATAATGATGATGTCATGGAGTCAAATTTGGTATAATGCATAAAAGCCCAGACTATATCAATCAATTCAGTATTCAAACACAAATTCTGGAAAAAAGTCGCTTATGCTTGACTGAACAAACTCAACTCTCTAAAACAAATTTCTGATTCACAAATTAAAGAAAAAGTCGCTCTAAAAATATATTTTAGACGATCACCATTTTTTAAGGAACTTTTTTAAATGTAGGCAGTTGTGTAGCCTAAAAAGGAAGGTCCAGCTGTCTATAATTTGTTCTAGAACACTATGTAAAAGTGGTGATTGTCTAAAATATATTTTTAGAGCAACTTTTTAGAGCAATTTGTGAAAAAATAATTTATTCATCCGTCAGAAATTCAAATATATCGTTAAAATTCGTCACCAGAGGGATATCTTGGCGTAATCTACATTTGTCAGCACTAATCCTCGGTAGATAAAAGGAGCCAGAAACCCAACTGGATAAGGATGAACTAATAAGACGTCGCAAGATTTACCATTCCAATTTTAAAGAAGAATTTTTTAATCTTTATTGGTTTTTGTGTTTTTTAAGGAACTTTTTTAAATGTAGGCAGTTGTGTAGCCTAAAAAGGAAGGTCCAGCTGTCTATAATTTGTTCTAGAACACTATGTAAAAATGGTGATCGTCTAAAATATATTTTTAGAGCGACTTTGTCTTTAATTTGTGAAAAAATAATTTATTCATCCGACGGAAATTCAAAAATTTCTGATTAAAAACATATTTTATTTCATCATCAATAAAATATTTTTATGATAAAAGTAAAAAATATGAAAATGTTGCTGATACTTCTGATCAAGATCAACAAAATAGTGCATATTTTGTAAGAAGAAAACTCCCTCATTTAACTAAAATTAATGTTAATGCAAAATACAGTACTTTTAATTGTGATTGTTAATTAATTATTGATTGAAAAAAAATTATTGATTACTTTAATAAACATATTTCTCTTAGTAACGAAAAAGAATAGTATACATTTGCTAACTTCTGGGACATAACCCCATGTTTTGCATTAGTCCTTTGTTTCATATGGCACAGATTTGCATAACATGACACTTTTCCAAACCATAACTACCGTGTTAAATGAAGGATACCTGTATATACCTGATATATATTTCTAATCAAATATAACAACTTCTTATAACTAGATATCTGTATAAATCAAAACTTAAAGTTAATTAGAAGAATATACCGTATTTACTCGCATATAAGACAATCTCACATATAGGACGAGGTGACTTAAAAGATCAAATTAAAGAAAATTAGATTTATTAATACAATTCCAATTCTATATCAAATACACATAAATGCACACATTGCTCTGTAAAAATTACTGAGATTTTAAACTTTAAGGAAAAATCTTGTAAAATCGACAACATAATTTGTTCATGTAAAGTTGAACAGTCTGGAACCTTTTTTGTCAATTCTTAACAGTCAAATCCACTCTGTCGATTACACTTATGGGTTTCTCCGAATTCTGAATTCTGAAAAATCATCTATTTTCATCTGGGAATAAATTTAAACTTATTTCAGGCTCCTGTGTGATTTTGGAATTCAATTCAAAAGCATTGCTTTTCCTATTGCTATTTATCTTCAGCTTTAGTCTTGAAAATACACAAGAATGATTCAAACGACCCAGATAAAATACTTTTGTTTTTAAACACAATAGAATGAGCATCCATTAAAAAATGTGAATACATGGTTCACAAAAATTATCACAAAACCGCAAAGAATCCTTCAAACATACCTATGGACGACCTATGTTTTTGAAGCAGTGAAAAATGTATAAAAACCTTGTCTTATATGCGAGTAAATATGGTATGTAATAAAAAGAAAATTATACAACTATAACATAAAAAGTTTTTATATTTTTTTTTTATTATCGATTTGGAAACATTTTTTATTTTATTTTATTTTGTCAATTTATTTAAACAAAAATGTAATACAATACCTCAAATGTTGCTGCACCTTCTGCCCTGTTAACCCTGCATACTTCATCTAAAATTATCTGTCCCTGGGGTTTGCGACAGACATCATTCTATAAAATATATTATAAATTAGAATAAAATAAAATATAAATAAATAAATATATAGAGAGAACTTTTATACAAAAATATTTGCTAAAATAAATACTTTCCTCTGGGTGTGTAAAAAGTTGCATGAACATATCAGTTATTTATGTTTATTCCCATATTGTAGAGAGCACTGTAATGTGCATGTGCCAGTTTCTACTTGGAAAAATTTGAATGTTATTTGTTTTTAAACTTAAGTTGTTCTGTTTTTTAAATTATTAGTTCCATTCTATGTTCAACAGTTGTAAGCTGAAGATGTCCATTTGAAAACGAAAGTAAACATTTGTTTGAGTAAAGTGTTGGAATTTATTAGCTGATTTTGGGTGTTGATGTATAGTATTTAATAAATAAATAAAAACAACTAATAATTACTTGATTTTTTAATTTTTATACTACCTAGAATTATTCTGTTTTGTTTATTTTATTCAAAATTTTTTGAGAAATATATATTCAGTTCTCTTTAATATTTTTAAAGAATGTTCCTATTAAGCAAGGATCAAAAATAAAAAATGTTTTGTTTTTATTGATAAGAATAAAATAAAATGCTTTATTATTTTTTTTATCTGTTAAAACAGACTACAAGTGATACAAAATAAGAATACAACAAAACCTTTCTTCTAGAAATCAGAACAAAGTTTTATTTCTTAAAATACTTTTCTGCATTAAACTTTTACTAGATTCTGCAAATGAAGATCAATGTTTTAAATCACAAATCTTATTATAAAACTAACACTTATATGATGCTCACTAATAACATATTCAAGTTCTTAGTTGTCACCATTTTACACTATTGGATTTCTATTTACTGTTTTTTTTTTTTTTTTATTCATAAGCAAAAATACTAACTCCATATTTATTTTTGTAGAAATTTCAATTATAATTTTTTTAGCTCCTAGTGAGCAATACATAGAACAAACTAGTTTACTTTTTCAGTCTGAAAATTGTATTATAATATATTAGTTACTTTTTAAATGTGTAGATTAGGGATTGTATACCGGTTTACCAATTTAAATTGACAAAATTCAGTAAACTTAGCAGTAAATTTTTGAAATTTACCGGTAATTAGGTAAATGAAAAAGCCATACTAGAAATTTCTATGTAGAAAATATTGTGTTTATAGATATTTAAAAGGGCTAAAGGGACATTGAAAAAAAAAAAAAAAAAACAGGTAAGTGTAGGCAACAATATACCTCATTATTAATTTTATGTGAGGTATTTTTTGTTTAATTTTAATGTAATGACCATTCGTCCAACAAGTGTTGAATCAGAAAGGGTATTCTCAGGATCTGGATTATTTTGTACAAAACTTAGATCAAAATTAGGAGATAATACTATAAATAATTTAAGTTTCTTGAAAAGTTAATTTTAAAAGTGGTAATCAATAAAATGGTATTAGGTACTATATATTATTTCTGTTGTATTTTTATTTTTCTGTATTATTTTATTTCTGTTTATTTCTATATTTATTATTATAGTTTGTTTAGAATAACACTTTAATTTTTATATTTTTTATATTTGATATCTTTGAAATAAAAAATGTGAAATCGAAATAATAATGACATATTTTTTATCACCTTAATTTTATTTTTCAAAAAAAAAATTTACTGGTAATTTACCGGTAAACCGGTATTTTAATTTTAATTTACCAAATTACCGGTAAATGAAAAAGTCGGTAAATTTACAATCCCTAGTGTAGAGAATGGCATAAGATTAACTGAAGCATTTAAACCAACTAAATTTCAGAATATTTATAAGAGTTTTTGAAAGAAACAAGAACTATATAAAATCTAATAAATTCTTTTAAATATTAAAAATCAATAATAGTTATCTAAGTTGAGCAAAATAATACAATTCAATGTCTGACCAATGGAAATACTAATTTGAAATAATTCTCTATTATATACAGACATAAAATATAATTCATTAAATTGATATAAAATTTAAAAAAAAACTATTAATTAATGAAAATTACAAAATAAACTTACACATCAAACTGATAAAATTACAATATTAATCACTAAAAAATTAATAGAAAAATGTAGTAATTAAAAAAATTAGTTCAAAAATAATTCATTCTAACTACTGAGAGGCATCAATTAATAACTATTAAACCGTAACAAATTATATTTTAATTAAAGAGTAGTATTTTAAAGTTCTTATCAAAATTTGATGTAAATTTAAATGCCTGTAATTTATGATATAATACAATGACTGTAATTTAATTTAAAAAACAAACAATTTAATAAATAATCATAAATACTGAACATAATTATTGAATCAAAATGAAGTTTTATACGATAAATTTAACTTGTTTATAAATTATTTTGAATTATTAATATAATATCATTAAAATATATTTACTAAAGTAATAAAATTTTCATATTAAGTTCTTCAAGGAAATAAATAAATCAATAATTTATGAAAATTATATGTAATAATCCAAGAAATAATTAAAACTTAATTGTGAATCATTTTAAATTACTGAACTTTCAGTTCTGAATTACATTTTATTATTTAATTAATACAAAAATTAATAAGTCTTAAAATTATTATTGTATACTAATTATTTCAGTTTAATGATTTTAAATTCTATTATTAAATTAAATTTTCAGTTTTTAATTGTAAGCTTTTATTTTATAGTGAATGATAAAAAAAATTAACAAAAGATAAATCAACATTTCAATATTCCCTTTAGAGCCATCATTAAATAGTAATTAAAAATTGACTACAATTTCTTAAATAAACATTAAAAATTTATAGTAATTAATTTTTACTTTACTCTGAAATAATATAGAAGTAATTTTTATAAATAAATAGAAAGAATTACATTATTATGATATCATCATAAGATACAGAAAATTAATTATTGAAAAGTTTGAAAATTAAACATGATGCATTAGTTTCATCCTTCAGTCCCCAGAGTCACATTAGTAAAACTGACTTGTAGAAAACTATTGAATAATGCAATAGGTAATTCTTTTGACTTTTAATTTATGTAAATATAACTTGTATGCCAACTTTTAAAATAGATAATAATTTGTAATTGAGATAATTATAAATATAATACAAATGAGTTGAAATTACAATATATAGTATATTTTCTTACTTAAAATATTCCATTACATTTATGGACATATAATATATATGTGTATACATGTGACATAAATGGAAAACAATCCTAAAGAATTTTTGAAATATTGTTATTTTTTTCAATATTTTTATTCTAATTTCTCAGTAAAATATAATCAACAAGATATGAAATATATTTATTTACCATTAATAGCTTAAAGATTAAAGCTTATACTTATTATTAATAAATAAATTATTATAAAGTATACATACTTGAGTTTTATAGTAACTTAGTGTTCCATTTTTCAGAACAAACCATCTACGTCTCCATGTTTTAAATTTTCCACCTAATTTAGTTAAATAACCACTTTTCTCTAAAGATTCCTGAAAGACATATAGAACATTCATTAGAAAAAACTTCAAATATTTTTATAAGTGTTGTGAAAATTAAATATGAAAGATAATACAATGAAATGCCATGAAGTTTGCTTAAGAATTTTCATTGATTTATTTTCAACATAGTTTTATCATTTCTTATAATCAGAAGCCATTCAAATCTTATATCAGCAAAAATGTATCCTACTTTGATTCCCTTACCACATCATCATCAGCCATCAGAAATCAAGGTATTCTCTCCCCTTAATTATGCCATCAGACCAAAAGTTAAAACCATTCACAAATACAGGGAAATTATTTTCACACAATTATATCTGTTTACAACATTACTTTTATTTATTGTGGCAGCTACAAGTTGGTAATGAACTACTTTCACAGTGCACCTTGACTGCAGAATTCTGAATGCAGATCATTGCAATCCTCATTTTACAGACTGACACAGCCTATAAAATGGAAAAATATAAATTCTTGTCAAAATATATATCAGAACATGAAAGTTGCATGATATATAATAAACAATTTTAAAAGAATGCTATAATAATATTGCAGTCATCCTCCAAAAATTTTGCGACAACTGGTGGGTGAAAAACAATAAGTACAATCTTATATCATCAAAGACTGACCATCCCTCCTCCCACCATGAGATACAAATGAATTCCCCTCCCCATAAACTATTGACATAATATTTGAATAGTTCTTCAATACAAATTAAATGAAAAATTCATTTCATATATAATTAATGATTTATTTTTTAAGAATTAAAAATAATTATTCAATTAATATATTATTTACTACACAAACAAAATTTATTGTTTCAATGAAAAATAGAACACTTGATTAGAACCCTAATTTTGTGTAACCCTGCATTTTTTGTGTCATGTGGTATATTACAAATTTACAACAAGCATTTTATTCTGGCTGACTAAGAATCACTATGTCAGATAAAATAATTCTAAGACATTTAAGTTTTTGTCACATGACAGCAGTAGCAACCTCCTACGCCTAATACTATTATTTTGTTAGAGGAAAATGTCTTTTTCAAAGAGAGTTTTAAAAGATTTCAACTTACAGTATACAGAGTAGAAAATATAGTAAATATTTATGTGATTTTTCTTAGATTGTTTCAGAATATACTGGAAAATTTTTTTGAAAAATGGGACATTGAATAAATGCAAATTACCATGAAAGTGAGTTCTTACAACTATTGGATACAAATTTGTTCTTTTTTCTCTTCTAATTAAGTTAAAAAATTCAAATTAATAAAGTGCAAAAGCTTGCTAATATTTTATTTAAATTATACAGGATATTCTGCTTGAAAATACCCAATTTTAATTTACCATAAAAATGAATAATTTAAGACAGTGGTTTCCAACATATTTTTATCATAGAACCCTTTTCATCTTATTAAAAAATGTTGGAACCCTGGTAATTTTAAATATCTTTATTTTCACCTAGTGAAACCTAGTCACCTAGTCAAAAAAAATATTGTTATTTTCACCTAGATATTTTTCTTGAGCTAAGATTGTTATTTTAATCAATAAAATAAAAATCAAAGTATTAGTAATAAATTCAAACACTGTACTACAAGCAAAACAATCTAGAATCAATGACTGAGATGAGCTTAAAATTAAAATGACAAAATTTTGATATTGTATTTTTCAAAAATGTTTAACTCAATAATATCAAAATATCAACAAGCAAATATTTATTGTGATATTGTCACAATGCTGGGCTGCAAATTTTAATCATATTTTTATTAATTTATTTCATTTAAAATATACTCTCCACTTTAAATTAGTACTATAGTGTCTTGCTCCTGTACATCATACTTTTCTGTTAGCAATGGAGTCATGCCTGTCATCTATCTAACTCTTTTCAGGTGTAAATTTTTGAATTGAAATAACATGACTTCTGGTTTACAACAAAAGCTCATCTATAGTTAATCAAGGCCTCCAGACCCTAAGCTATCCATATATGGTCTTTGCTTTCATCTATGCAATGCCATTCTCGAGATTAAGGAAGGATAGACAGACAAATGACAGAGAATTTAATAGGTTTACAATTTTTTCAAATTGCAGCCTAATTATAATAAGAAACTATATTTCAAAAAATAATAAGAATCTAAATAAAAAAACTATCTTATTTGTTTATATAATCAGTTACAATATAACTTTACTTATAAACCTATAATTTTTCACAATCATCATTAAAAAAATTGTTAATTAAATTACAGTACAAATAAAATTACTATGATATTGACTTTAATTGTTCACTTTATAAATTTTGTTTATTTAAATTATCAAGTAAAGTAAAATTTTTACCAACTTAAAAATTTTTTTTGTCAAATTAATTAATTGGAAATTAAAAACAACTTTAATATTGAATTATGATTTATTTATTTCAACAAAAGTTAGTAAAATATAAATATTATTTTAATAAAAAATATAAAATTTCTTACTTTTTTGGGACTGACTTGAGTGATTGACATTTTGACAGCTTGTGGTTCAACTGAAACAATACTAATGGTATCAGAAGAAACAGCATCAGGTGGAATTGCATAGTCATCAGACAAAACGGATTCTATTGATGCATCTAAAAAACAACATATATACTATTAACTTGAGATCAAAAGTTTATAAATTAAAAACAAATAATATATTATTTTAAAAAATAAAAAGTTAAATTGATTTAAAAGCAGTTTAAAATTTAATGTAATTATGACTTAAAAATACAATATTTCAAATAGTGTTATTCTATTTATTATTTTTTGATAGAATAAAATTAAAAATATTCAAATTTCAAATCCTTAATAAAACATATCATGCACTTTCAAAAATTGCATATGAAATTACTATAACATATAAAATAATATATCATTATTTACTGTATTCATAAATAAAATTTTTAACTATATAATTTTTAGACAGAAAGAAAATGAATAAAAATATAACACTTCCTTTTCTATTTATAAATAAATTTTTAATCAACAGGTATCAAAATAAATAAATAAATTATTTATTTATTTATTTTGATACCTGTTGATTAAAAATTTATTTATAAATAGAAAAGGAAGTGTTATATTTTTATTCATTTTCTTTCTGTCTAAAAATTATATAGTTAAAAATTTTATTTATGAATACAGTAAATAATGATATATTATTTTATATGTTATAGTAATTTCATATGCAATTTTTGAAAGTGCATGATATGTTTTATTAAGGATTTGAAATTTGAATATTTTTAATTTTATTCTATCAAAAAATAATAAATAGAATAACACTATTTGAAATATTGTATTTTTAAGTCATAATTACATTAAATTTTAAACTGCTTTTAAATCAATTTAACTTTTTATTTTTTAAAATAATATATTATTTGTTTTTAATTTATAAACTTTTGATCTCAAGTTAATAGTATATATNTAAAAAAGATATTGTAAAATCTAAGTGACTCGTACAACATGGAATTCATATAAAACGGAATTATCAATAGTGTTATGGGGGGTCGACCGTATATATATATATTTACATATAATCTCTATTTATATCTGTTTTACTGATATGCTACATTTCTGGCTTTTCATATTTACAAAAATTATATTATTTACAAAAATCATAGCAATTCACATGAGAAAAAATGTTTGAATATTTATTTAACCTCTATAAGTAAAATGATGGCTATCATATTCTGAGATCCTGATGAACATTCCTGATGAATGTTCATGGAACATTAATCAATGCTGACACTTAACATACAATTTTAGAAAGTTCATGGGAGGTCATAAACAGAAAAAAACATACAATAAAATATGTTTGTCCTTTTTATACTTTTTATACAGTCATTTGAATTGTATAACACATGCCATCTGCAAATAACTGAAGCAATGAAAAAGTATATCTGATCAGAACATAAAAAATTAATGTTAGTTTTCATTTCCTATACTTATTGAAATTACAAAAACTGGGAAGCATCTCAGTTATAAATTACATTTACATTTTATATATCACTTTCAAGCTTATTTATTGTAGATTAAATAGTAAAATAGGTGCAATGGGGCTAATTTCATTTAAAATATATGCCCAATTTTGCTCTTCCTGTACTGGTGTTCCTCCTTGCCATTCTGGCTATTGAATTTACCTCCATCCAGTATAAAAACACTTCTGAAAATAACTTCTCCACTTGACACTCTTTCATTGATTTTTTCTATTTAGTTTTTAATTTTCATTGATTTCCAATTATTTTTTAATTTTATGTTGTTAATGGAAAGTTTATTGTAAATTAAATTTTAGTCAGATAAACTGACATTATTTCTTTCAAAGTGCATGGCACCTAAGCAAAGAACTCTTTTAGATAGTTTTTTTTTTTTTTAATCACCTAAGTTCAATTAAATGTCATCAATTTAATTTTCATGCAGAAATGAATATCTAACTGTAAAGGTATTTACAAAACAATGTATACCAGGAAATTTTATAAGTCATATTAATTAATAAATTTTATGTANAATGAATACAGAAAGTAAATAAATAAATAAATTTATTTATTTATTTACTTTCTGTATTCATTTTTAATTTAACCATAAGTTTTTAAAGCAAAATATTTTGCCTCAAAAAATTATAGTTAAATTAAAACTAGTAAGAAACGCAGAATTTATCATTTCATAAAATTTTGAAATGATTGGGTTGTGTTGATATATCAATACTAATGCAAGATTATTAGAGAAAGCTCCCTCTCAATGTATATTTATTAAGGTTGAAAATGGTAAATGAGCATTGTGTAATGAATGAATGGTGATTGTCAACTTAACTCAATGAGTCTTGTTTGAATGAAAAATACAGAATATAATAAAAACTAAATTCTAGAGAAGAAAGTTGCATTATGTATAAAAATAATAAAATTTATAGTATACATTGAATTTGTTTATTAAAATTGTTTTAATTGCTATTAAAATAAAAAAGTTTTTAAAGTTTATAAGAACTTCAAATATTTATTATATCAAATATTAATATATTTATTTCAAATAATTCAAATGACAAAAGTTTAACAGTAATGTTTTTATATTTTTATATAGAATAAAAATATTTTTTAAGCATATATGCTTCTTATATTAAATGAAAATCATAATTTTATATATATTGCAGATTTTCAAATATAATCACAAATGTTATAAAACCTTTTGTTTTCACATTGTATATATTTTTATATTATAAAAATTACATTCAATTTTATAAAATATGCATTTGAATAGTGTACAAAAAATTTTATGAAAGCATTGGTTATCTGTTATTTCCTAAATTAAATAACATTGCATTCAAAAGAACTAAAAAATTTGAAACAAAGATGAATTTAAACTAACCTCGTTTTACAGATTTTGTAGGTGATATGCAGTTTTGTTTAGCAGGTGAAGGTGATAAACTACTACCAGTTGTTTTTCCACTTTTACTAGGACTACCTGTTGAAAGACTTGATTCTGTTTCTCCACTTGTTGTTTGTGATGATGTAGTTGTAACTGTGACTCTTGTATCTTCATTATCAGATGAATCTGATGAATCACCAGTAAAAGGTATTGATCTTATTTGAGATGCTCTCTACATAGATAAATAATATTTAAAATAAATTATAACAAAATTTGTAATTTATATAATTTATAACAAAATATTAAAAACACATGTAAATATATAGTAAAATTATAAATAAAATTTATTGCAATTAACCATATATTTTAGTTTTTATTTCAAATAAGCAAATTGTAAAATTAATATTACTTACAACAAATCTTAACATTGTTTTAAAACTTTTTAATTTATTTAAAATATTAATATTAACTGTATTTGATAAAAGATGAATATTAATGTTATTAAGTTTAAATAAATTTGCATAAAATTTTAGCATATAAGTTTTTATATCAGTTTATTTAATGATAACAACTTCGTATAAAAAGATAATTTACTATAGTATAAAAACAAAATTTATTCTTGGATCTTATTGATCTAAAAAAAAATACACTGCTAAATTAGAAACAATGATTCAAATCCACATTATACAAACAAAGAACATTTTCAGCATCTTTTAGAAATCAATAGCATTTTATTGTATCCAACTATTTTTGAATTTTTTTTATGCTCCTCATCAAATAAAACCTGCTATATTTATAGTTATTTTTATAATGTAAATTTCCAGACTTAAATTATATTATTAAATTAAATTAAATTATTAAAGTTTAAAATTATCTAATTACTAAGGTTATCATTTAATGAAACTTTACCTACTGTTAGCATCAAATTATCTTACTCATTATTCTATAAAGTTATTATAGAAATAGTCCAGAAAAACACTTGGTTATTTGGATTTTAGTTTAAGCAGATTTTTGGATGTTTCTAAGAAGTAACACACAGCTTTAAAAAGCTTTTCTAAACTGAAAAACAACTTTTTACTTTAGAAATTCAGTAAGAACAAAAAACATATTATATTCTGAAGTAAATTTCAAATAAAAAAGATATATTCTAAATGTAAAACAAAAATTTTTAACCTTTATTGATCACAGGACGCAAGTGTTGACCCAGTTTCTGCATTTTTGCAAAGGCCTTTGCAAAAAAAATTTTTAAAGATTTATTTTTAACCTGATGTTCTTGTGGTCAAGTTTGTGAAGCCGTTACTAGAGGGTAAGTGCCACACTCACCCTACATGTTTTCACATTCTTAATGAGAGATTTTACTAAGATCAGGAAGTTTTGTTATGAATAATACATATTTTAATGTTTATTTTACTTTTTTTAATTTAGAATACATTAAGAGTAATTTCAATATATAAACAGAAAATTGATATCTGAAATTATTGTTAAACTTAATCATAATTTCTATTCAAGTTCTGAATCTGTTTAGTCTGGAATTTTAAAATTGCATTGTTTGCAGATTATTATTATGCGGTATCTGCAGATTGTTGCAGTTACACTCTTGGATGCTGTTTTCCTATTCTTTTTTGGGCAATTTATGCACACTTTTCTCTTGATGCTGATGTTGCCTGTGGAGGATCTGGTTTCTTTCTCAACACTTTCAGGATTTTCATATGGAAATTCTCTCTCTCTCTCATTTGTCTGTGAGGAAGGATCCCATATTTTCTTTCTCATACTCCTCATCAAGCAATTTCAGAAACATTTCATCATGTTTTATGATACTGTGGCCATCAGCGATATTGTAGTTTGTATATAGTTCACAATTCCTTATTTTATTTCTATTCTTCTACTTTCTTTCTATTGTCTTCAAGAACTTTCCATATCGACCATTACTACTTGAGGGAGGAGGCTTACCCCTTCTCAGAACCAGGGGTGAAACAAAGGAGTAAGGTATTAGTGCTTCTCTGAATTTGGGGAAATAAACAAAAGAAAATGTAGCTGAGGAAGGAGGAAGGAGAAAAGAGAGAGGAGAACACTTTTTGGCTGGACCTTGAAAGGAACGGACATGCAATGCAGTGAGTGAAGCTCAAAAAGAGAGAGGTGGGAAGAAGACAGCAGATATAGGAAAGGACTGTCGAGATTAGAGAGGAAGAAGCACGAGGGACTAAGGAAAACTGAAAGAATCGGAGAACCTTGAGAATGGATTGCTGAATCAGTAAAAAAGAATAAAAGATCACGTCTGTAAAAGGGTACCTCCCTGAAGATATCAATCAATCAACGTGGACCCAGGTACTCCCTATCTATGCTTTCTATACTTTCCTAAGTCTAATCATTTCCCTGTTATATTAGTTTTAAGTTAGACATAAGATTAGTTTTTAAGTCTGTTATCAAGGTTTTGTGTTACGTGCGCATATATTATATACTTGTACGAGAATAGGAGGTGACTTATTTCCCTGTGAGGATAATAGGGTAAAGGAATCCGTTAAATTGGGATCTTTGTAACAAAACAAGATAAAAGAACCATGTTTGGAGTGCATTAAAGGAATATTCAATCATACACATTTTTGTTCTTGTGTTCCTATTTGTAAAATTTATTTGCGGACTTATAAATCACTCGTTACGACATACCACAATAGTATGTTTGCAATTAGAATCATACCACTTCAAATATGAAAGAAAAGAAACAGGATTAGTCACAGGTGAGTGCCATGTTAACTTGTCTAACACAACTGAAACATAGATGGCACTGAAAGCATTAGCAATGACTATTATTTCTGATTCCACTCTTGTTGAAGGGGATACTTGGATAGAAAAGTAGATGAGAGCTTGGCCACAAAACTTCTAAGAAGCCAAGTTACAAGCATTTTAAAATGTAAAATGAGCACAGCATTAATCCTTGAGTAATGGTAGGTTAAAAGCAAAATCACATAAAAGATAAACTAATGATTATCAAGTTAATTAATTCTAAAGATCTTCTAAAAAGTTCTCTCTAAAAATGCAATAAAATTTGAAAATTTCCCTCTTAACTTTATAATAAACTAATACACTTAAATAAACAAAAATATAAATAAAGAAAATAGGAATAAAACTATTTTAAAACTGAGCTAAAATATTTTATATAAATGTGAAGTAAACATTAAGAAATAAATAATCAATAAATTAAAATAAAATATAAAAAATTAAAATTTTATCAAATTAAAACTTTCAAAAATAAGAAACAAATGACTTTTTAAAGGTCAAAAAGATCAAATGGCTTTGAAAACATTCAAACAGGTTTTTTAAATTCCATTCACATTTTTATTCATCTTTCTTCTATTCATCTTTTATACCTTCTTTTTAATTATTGAAAAAGTCTATATTTTTGAATGTAAAATTTTTAACCTGATTTGAAATACAAGGCCACATACAAAAAGGTTTTAACCCTCAAATTAGGAAAGAATTAAAAAATTAAATAAAATTAAAATTAAACAATATATTTTGTATAACTTATATTTATTTTGTACCCATTCAATTCCTGCTTAGTCTATTATACTGTGTTATTCTAGACACCTAAAAATTAATAAACTACATTATAAAAAATAATATGCTTTTTTAAAAACTTCACTTTTAAAAAGCCTGTGCACAGAACTCAGCCTACACATACTGTATATGCAAGGTTTGACCAGTTTACAATATTGTATAGATCGAAAGAAAAAATTTTAATATAATAAACTGACAATACACAATAATATTTTCAACATTCTTTTTCAATAGTCCAATTGACAGTTGAACCACTTGTCACCAGCACCCATTTGACACATATAGAATGTACTGTATATCCCCATGTTAGGATTTCCATTTGATACTTTTATTGTAAGTGAAATGATATACTGATAAGTACATATTCAATTGATAACCTAAAAACAGGTAAAAATAACTAGATATCGAACCTAGAATATAGAAATTTGATCCAAAGTTTCTTACATTCTGATGAAATAAATTGATTTTTTTTTTTATTGTAGTAAACATGTTATCCTTAAAGATTCCTTGATATTTTTTGATAGTCTATGTAATTATATAGTTTTAATTTAGCAAGTATAAATACAAATATGTAATAAAATATACAATTATAATAAAAAGGAAACATCAGCATAAATAAATTCTTACCTAACAGTATATTACATAAGTTATATTTTTATTTTTTAAATTTACTGAATTAAAAACTTCTTGAACATTTATATAAAGATTAAAAATGTTTATATAATTCAAATATGTGTACTTATATCATTATTCTTCTGTATATTTAAATATATTATCTTAAGTTTTTTGCAATAAAAATAGCATAATAAAGGTTATAATGTGTTAAAAAGAAAAAAATTGAATAGGTTATTATCATTAATGAGACATTAATTAAAAAAGTACTGTAATAACAATCTAGTTCCAAACAACATTAATAAAAAAGACAAATTCTTTCAAGTTATTAGTGGTGAAGACAGGCTAGAAATGTATCATTATGAATGAAAAGTTACATCTTTTTAAATTTTTCTTTTTAATTATATAGTTATTTTATCATTGAGTACAGAAAAAAAACACACAGCAAACAAATTTTCTATAATCATTAAACCAAATTTCTTTTTAAAAATGTACATTATTTTTAATTAAAGTGATATTGAAAAAGGTGTCATTTTATTTTAATGACAGATTAATTGAAAAATGTCATTTTTATTTTTTGTCCTTTCAAAAAAAAATCATTTCATTGCAAAAAATTATAAATATTAAAAACAAAATAATTTTAAATTAAAATTAAAAATAAAACTTTTTAAATATTTTAAAATATATACTTACTCCTTTTACTGTTGCATAAACTGGAATATTAAGATCAGGAAAAATATTATTTATATATGGATCAGTTGATGGTTTTGAATTATTGTTTGGAGAAGCTAAAGCAAATAAAAACATTAAAATTAAATAATTATGCATATTTAAGTATAAAACAATAAAAAATAAATTACCATAGTCTTATTTAAAATTAATTCTATGGAAAACAATACATTTGCAAACTATTACATTATTTTTATGAATTAAAGTAATTTCTTATTTTTATCTTTAAAATTCATTCAAAAGTTATAAATATAATAAATTTAAATGAATCAAAAAATATAATTAAAATGACTATTTTTATAGAAACTCTGTGAAGGAAGAATATCCATTTCTCCATTAGTTTCTATTACACTTTTTACTAAAAATTATATAATGCAAATTAATGAAATTAAAAAACAAACAGGCAAATTATTGTTTAATAATAATGCATTTATTAATAAATATTATTAAGTCAGTGCAGCATTAATACATACACTGTATAACAAAGTTTGACTAATTAAATTATTACAGAAAAAAGTATGTCTCTTAACTTATAAACAATATATAGTGAATTTTTAATAAATGAATCAAATAAAATTTAATGATGTTAAAAAAATACAAAGCAAATTGCAAAACAAAAATTATAGAAATATAATACTGTATTTTAAAATCTTTATAAGAATCAAGTAACTTACACTAGTTATTTTTATATAAATATTTAAAACATTCTTTAATTTTAAAGAATAATATAATATTACTTAAATTATTAACATAAAAACTTTTATATTATACAATTATAACTTACTAGAAGGTGTTCCTTGAAGGGAGTCAGAGGACATACTTATACCATTTATTGCAACTTCATAAATTCTAGATTCCTAAAAAATATTTTGTTATAAATTAATCTTATAAATTACATAAATTATCAATACAAATCAATAAAAAGATACTCAAAATTTAAAAAAACACTATAAAGTATCAATTTTGTTTTGTATTTATTGCTTCAGTTATATATGAGAATGAAATCTGTAGATATGAGTTAATTTAATGTTTCATTTATTTATTAATGTATAATTTTATTATCATTTAAACTTTAAAATTGGTATTAATTTGCTTCATAAAACACATCAAATAATATTAGTCAATAAACTGTTTAAATGCTATTATACAACAAAAATATAGAGCATTTAATTATAAATTTTTTCAAACTTATCATTTTATGATAAAAAACATAAAACTTCTCTTTTAACAACCAGATTTTTTTTTAATGACAAATATTTTAAATCATTTCCTATTCTTAAATTAAATAAATATTGATTTATTTAAAAGTATTATAATGTTTATATAAATATTTTCCAGTTAAAAATTGTTCAGCTTACACAAAGCTGCAAGATATTTATCTAAGCAAAACACTTTTAAAGTTTTAAAGAGAAAAGTTTTGAGGAATTCACAAGTAAACAAAAAAAACAGCCTTTCTTCAGAAAATAACTATAAAAACTGAACTGTTCTCCAATAAAGCAGTTTTTATAGCTATTTTGTGGATTTCAATTCTATGATACAATTTAGATGTAAATTAAAAATTATAAATTTTTCAATAATTATTTTATCATGATAATTAAAACTCCATTAAAAACATAACTTTATACAACTTTAATCTTGATTATTTTAGAAATATTTTTAAATAGTATTAAATAATCATTTTTAAGTATTAATTGAAAAAATATATTTAGTATAGAGTCATATATATTTAAATACATAAAAATTAATCTTTAATTGTATTACACTGTACTGTACATTTTCATAATGATAATTAAATCAATAATTAGACAGATACTTTTTGAAAAACATATTTCTTCAATAATACATTTAATTATTTCAAGTATACTTCTTTATGCTCTTGAGTATTTCAACATGTTTAAATCAACAAAACATTAAATTGAATATAATTACTGTTTAAATTACTACAAAAGCTCATTATTGGAATTTAATCAAGTACATTTTTAATAAGCTGTTTGTTTTGTGAGATATTCAAATAGATGAAAAAAAGTAAAACCAGAGTAAAAACTTATATATATTTGCCAATAATAATTTAAGAATTCATTATCTTTAAAATAATTAATTATTAAATCATTAAGATTGTATAATACTTAATATTTTTTTTAAATTTTATATAAAATAATGTAAGCAAAATCAACAAGATCATATAAAATATCCTCACATTAATTCTCTAGTGTTTTTAAAATTGTTTTTCATACTTTTTTCCGTTTATAATTATGATTTGTATATTTAACCCTATAATATTAACATAAAATTGCCATATGTTAATATTAACATAGAGTTATCTGTAACTCTATCACTTTTTATTGAAGGTTTGACAAAAAGTTTGGATCCAATTGAATTAAATAGTAAATGAAAATCAGTTTTATTTACTGCAGTAAACACAAAATTTGTGTTAATTGCAGTTCATAAAACTAATGAATCTAACAAATCTAACTTGTACACTTGTATATCTGCAGTTCCTTGTATTTGGTATACCTTATATGTATTTTTTTTTTGTTAGTAAATTGCACTACAGAACATACCATTGTATCATGAAACAGTAAGCTCTACACATTCAATTCAAAAGTAACTTTATATGCATATTTAAAAGTATCTTTTGCATCCAGAAATATCCAACACAAAGTTTCTTTTGGGAGTACGAAAATGTGATGGAACAACAGTTGACCAAACGTGTCATTTTTGCTTAGTAATCGATAATCACTTGCTAATGCAGATTCTTTTAATTTGTTTCATCACCAGAAAATATTATATCATTCATGCCCAGACTCACAGAAACATTATCTACAAACTTAGATCCATTTGCATCAGAGTAAAAATTATCATTATTGTTGAGTCAAGCTTACAAAACTTCATCATACTTAGAATCACTCAATTTTATAATCATCCTAATGCATTTAGTGAATTGCACTTCTGCCTGAGAGGATCTTTCCACAATTTCCATAATTTTGATGAGAAGAAGAGAAATTGCTTTACTTATTAAACTAATATGAGGTTATACACTATTTCAACATCCTAAAACTAGAAAAACAGACAAGAAGATTCCTAACATATAACTGATGAAAGATGATGTCTTCAAATGTGAGCTCAGTATTATTATCTCCAATGAAAACAAAAATTGGTATGAGATTAAAATTTCACAGAGGTTACTGGTAACCTATTAGCATTCTAGGATTAAGAAGTTTTAACAAGATTTTTTTGGAATTTTGATGTTTCATTATTTTCACATCTACTAATTTCTAAATTTGTTTATTACTTATTAAAAATGTTTTCATGACTTATACATTATATTCAGTTAATAAATAAAGATCTAGAATGTTATAAAATTGAAATAGCTTAAAACATTTTAAACTAAATAGATGGTAAATTCTGGGTTTAAAATGAATAAAACAATAGAAATAAAAAATAAAATCAAAGTTTTTAATTTTTATTAGATGTATCCTATTCTCATTCTGTAATAACTGTTTCTTTGTATTTCCAATTTTTGTAAGTTATCATTTATATATGAAGTCTAGCAATATTTCTTTCTTCTTATTCATATCTGTTNCTGTTTTGTTCTTTAATTAATGATGTAACACATAATGAATAAAACTGTAACATATCCCTAAAATCTTGATTGTATATTAATTAAGATGCCCTTAATAAAATTGAAATAGCTTAAAACATTTTAAACTAAATAGATGGTAAATTCTGGGTTTAAAATGAATAAAAACAATAGAAATAAAAAATAAAATCAAAGTTTTTAATTTTTATTAGATGTATCCTATTCTCATTCTGTAATAACTGTTTCTTTGTATTTCCAATTTTTGTAAGTTATCATTTATATATGAAGTCTAGCAATATTTCTTTCTTCTTATTCATATCTGTTAGTTTCCCTAAACTCTTAATAATTTCAACTTTTTCAAAAAACTTAGTACTGGTACTCACTTCTCACTCTCCTAATCAACTACATTTCACTCCACTTAAATTTCTTTACTATAAAGCTTCTAGATCGAGTGTTTACAACTTTCCTGAACAATATTCCTCTGATATTCTTCCTGATATTCTTTCAGTTTCATTTCTAATTTTCTTACTATACTTCCTATGTGCACCTTTTCTTCTCTTGTTAACTTATCCACTATTGTATTTGAGTAAACCTTGCTTCTCACTAATTCTCTTGTCATTCCTAATTACATCAAAAGTTGTAGGAACCCTGCTGTGTTTTACATGGATTCTGTATGGTTTGAGATACTTTCTACCTTCCAAACCTCATGTATCAAATTAGCAGCAGTCAATTTCTATATTTCTCTTTAAGATTTGTCCTTATTTGTTCCTTTTCTGTTTTTCTATGTTTTCTTTATAACTCCTTTTAACACTGCTTCATGCTATAATTTGAAGTTGTAATTGATTTTATATATTTCTATTCTTTATCTAAAAACTCCTTTCTTGAGGAATAGAAATTTATCTTATCAAGAAAAATATATCACATTCCATTTTTACTTCAAACATATTATTTAATATCCTAATGTATAATAGCTAAATACACTTATTTTCTTTTTGTATACATTGGTCATCACTCTTCTACATTCTGGTCTAAGTATGATATGCAAACATAATCAAGAAACAACAAATTAAATTTTGATATTTTTGTATTTTCCATTATCATCTGTTCTAAAAACTTGAAAACAATAAATAAGTAAACTAAAAGCATTAAATGCTATATTAAAATTTTATATTGAAAATATATTTAAATCTTCCAAATCTTGACAAAAATTAAAAATAGACAAGATATTAGTTGATAGTGGCAAAATAAACTACTTGTAGATAAAAGATGATAAAAAATCCAAGTAAAAACTATTAAAATAAGTTTTTCCTTTGCATAAAATTCAACAAAAAGTGAATTAAAGTTATATAATATAATTTTGAATAATTTTCAGAAATATTTTTTCACCATCCATATTCATTCTTCAATAAATTAATATTAAAATACATTTCAAAATAATCACTTAGAATTCTCTTTAACTTTTAAATTTGCATCTAAAATCATTTTACATATTCAAAACATTATGTTTATAAATATCCTTTATATCAAAATCAAGAGATCAAATATACAGCATTAGATAGAATTATCCTGTTTGACAGAATGTCAAAATAAAGATTTTGCATTTAAAATCATTTTGAAATATTTACAACATTCTTAACTTTTAGTAATTTGAATAAAAAGTATAAAAGAAATTTATAGTAATTTTATAAATTTTATTAGTGACAGAAAATACAACTAATTTTGTAATTTTTTTGTAATTATTTGTAATTTGAAAATAAATTATTTTCAAATTACAAATAAAGTTATGCTCTGTCTTAACCAAGTTGATAGTGACGTAGACAACATGACATCACAAAAAATGATCATGATAGGTAAACTGAAGAACCCCAATTACTTACACTCATTATAGATTCATAAAAAATTCATTCACAAAAGTCCCTAAATTATGAAATTTTTCACAATAAGCAACATAGCAATGCTTTGTTAATTTTAAAGCAATTAATGTATGAAAACTAAAAACAAGTACACAATAATAAAAATGCAAATAATTAGGGAATGGGAATTTCAGTTCTATTCAAGATTGCTGAATGCAAAGTATTGTTTACCAAGTACAAGAAAACCTAGCCATCAGAGTATGGTAAAAGATGGATTATTTTGAATATTTATAATTTCTATTTTGCTTATTATGAATAATTTCATAATGTAAAACCTCCTGTAAATGAATTTTTTGATAAAACTATATTGTGTGTAAATGTATTGACATTCTTTAGTAGTTCATCTGTCATGGTGATTTTTGTG